TGTTAAAAGGAGGTATTTTTTTTTTTTTTTTTGCATTAAGGCACTATCTCCACCCCCTCCCCAATATTTAGCAGAACTCTAGTTTCAAAGATGTTAATTGATTTACATGTAAAGGAATTCACAGGTTGTATATACTTGGGAAATTCTAAGTTGGGAGTAAGCAGGTTTCTTTATTGCTGAACTTCTTAGGATCTTTACTATATTAATGTAAATTATGACTCATAAAAAATATAGTGTTTTCTAGACTAATTTAACCACAGAAATAGAGGCATGTCTTATATAACAAGTGTTCCTCAGGATACTCTTGGTAGAAATTGTTCTAAGTGGAAATAAAGGCGGAGGAGGAATCTTGAGAGAGAATTCTATTCAAGATCAATCAAAATTAACTCCAGAAATGTGGAGAGTGGCTACAGCGTTTGGACAGGTTCAAGCCTCGGATTGATGAGAGGGCACAGTTCTCTTGTGGCAAAGCCATATACAAGTCCCAGCTTGGAGAGCAAAGCCCATCCAGAACAATTATAGCCAAAGGCTATGGTTGTAAGCTTGACTTTATGGTCCGACCCTGCAATCCTAGGTAGCGGAGGGATGTGGGCTCCAGTCCTAGGTAGCGGAGGGATGTGGGCTCCAGGAGGTGCAGCAAGAACTGCCAAAACAAAGCTTGATAGAGTTCTCAGGTGCACATAATTAAGTAGATTTAAAACTCTCAAAAACATTGTAAACATCTTAACCACTCCCTTGTTTTGCTGTGTGTGATCTGACTATAAAATAAAGACTTGGCTTACAGGCTGTGTTACTGTTTCCTCATCCAGGCGCAGTGATCCACCTGGTCCCAACTATATTCTCCTGTCTGTTTTCTTTAAACCTTCACCACTCCGCCTCAAGTTCACCACTGGCCGTGCTGGACACGGTTCACAGAAACAGGCATAGCAGTACTCTTAGCACTTAAAAAAAGGTGTCCTTGAAGCAGGTCCTTGGATCCAATTATATTTTATACTGTTGTGTTGGTTCTAAATGCCAATAGTTGTGTTTTTTTTTTTGTTTGTTTGTTTTAATATTGAGGACTGAAACAATTTAAATACAAATAATTTTGCTAAAGTTATTTTAAATTCATGTAATTTAATCACCCAACATCACCAAAAATTTAGTTAAAACAATGTAGAAAACATTGCTGTAGGCAGGTGGTGAGCATGTGCAACGTGAAGTAAAATCGAGAGTACTGAGTGGAATGAATGCAGGGAAGGAAGTCTTTCTTGAAAAAGATTATACTTGATCTGATTCTTAAAAGAAACATCCTGTTAGATTATTGGGTCCAGACAGTGTTGTTGGGGAATGAGACAACAGTGTGAGCAAAGAAGACACCGAGGTTGGAGAAAGCAGCAAGTTCAGGGGTCACTGAAGACAGAATTCAGATGTTTTAAATGACTTCTTTTGTAGATTATGGAAATAATGTAAAAGTCAAACTAAAGCCCTGAAAAAAAAGTTCCTAAGGGAAGATATTTGAGAAAAATATTAATATTGATTATTGGGAATAGTCAAATGGCAGAGCAGATCTGTGGCATTTAATAAACCATATTATTTTTGCATAAGTATTCCACTTTTGTCAAAGTTATTTATAATCACAATTATCACTATTTTTCAAAGTAAACTTGTGGGCACAGGAGAGGCTATTTCCAGAAAAAAAAAAACCTGTACATAGAGATAACATACATTCCTCAAGCTATATTTACCTGAAGTGACTTTGGCAGATCAGGCTAACTGTGGCTCAAATGACTAGTTGACCCCCCAAGAGTTTAGAGACAGGCACACATGTCAAGCAAAAAAAATGAACAGAACAAGAATACTGGAACAATGGCCACTTATTCTGACCCATCCCTGAGGATTAGCTTGTCTCCTTTCTCAAGGGTATAAATTATTTAACTTTGATGACCTATTTGTAGCTGTGTTTTATTTAATTTTGCAAAGACCCGTCTTATGGAGTGGGTGACGAAGTCTGGGGGAAGGAAACCTTGGGTAGAGGTACAATTATTTTGAAGTTCATTTCAGAGCACACCAGTTGACCAGGGATATCACAGAAAGAGAAGCCAAGTGTGGATACATAGACTATAGTGATGCCCTTGGATTCCTACAGCTCATCACATTTTCCTCTGGAAGCATCTGAGGGGAGGGCTTTCTGTCATCATTTTCCATCTTTCTCTTTAGGTAGGTTCTCTCTGTCTCTCTGTCTCTCTGTCTCTCTGTCTCTCTGTCTCTCTCTCTCTCTTTCTCTCTCCTTTAGAAATGGGGGAGGGGCAGAAAGGAGGAAGGTAAAAGGGTTAAACAGCAGGCTTCCTATGAAATTCCACATGGTGTATGAAAATAGGAAGTGGAATCCTTTAACACCACCTAAATCTTGTTTTTAACATCTTGATTTTAGTACTTTTTTTTTTTTGTAACAATAAATCGGAACTTTTGACTAAGGCTAAAAATAGAATACACGGTTGAGTATGGAAGATGTGACCCAGCTTCTCCTTCTCCTTTTCATTTTGTTTCAGTTTGAATGAGAAGGGGATGGCTCACACAAGGAACAAGAACAGCAACTGGCTGTCTGTCTGTGAGCTTTGAGCCAATTATGATATTTTTGTGGGAAAGTTTCCAATTCGTAAGTCTCAGTTATGTAGAGGTGGGAGGCAGCTGGTGTGAATGTCTGTTTACAGGGTACATGCACAATTACTCTGATCCAATATGGCATGAACAGCAATGTGCTTATTCAAGAAAATGATTACCTCAATTTTCTTTTTTTAAAAAATCTTTTATTGATTTTTTACAGAGAGGAAGGGAGAGGTATAGAGAGCTAGAAACATCCATCAGCTGCCTCCTGCACACCCCCCACTGGGGATGTGCCCTCAACCAAGGTATATGCCCTTGACCGGAATTGAACCTGGGACCCTTCAGTCTGCAGGCTGACGCTCTATTCACTGAGCCAAACCGGTTAAGGCTATCTCAATTTTCTTAACCTAAGCTTCTTCATCCTCATCACTTAAAAAAAGACACGTAAAACAAAAGAAGAAAGGCTAAAGCCAAAGTCATCAAAAGATTTTAAGATCTCTCAGCTACCTCTAGTGAGGGATAGAAGTAATGAAAGTAAGCTAAGTCTGAACTCATTATCTTTTTCCACAGTTCCTACTCATACTGCCCCCCCCCAAGTCTCCATTTAATGAACAACCATCATCATTTCCTCCAGTTTTTAGAATTTCTTGACTTCACTCTCTCCTTCATCTTTCATATTCAGTGGCTACCAAATTCTGCCGCATCTACCTTCAAAGCATTGTCCATTTATTTATTGATGTATTTGTTGTCATTTATTAAATACCTACTGTGTACCATGTGTGCTGTGCTAGGTACTAAGGATACAAGGGCAACTGAGACAGACAGTTTCTGCCATCACCAAACTTAGAGTCTAGTGCAGCAGTTCTCAACCTGTGGGTCGCGACCCCTTTGGCGGTCGAATGACCCTTTCACAGGGGTCGCCTAAGACCATCCTGCATATCAGATATTTACATTACGATTCATAACAGTAGCAACATTACAGTTATGAAGTAGCAACAAAAATAATGTTATGGTTGGGTCACATCATGAGGAACTGTATTTAAAGGGCCAGAAGGTTGAGAACCACTGGCTTAGAGGATGTCAGGTGGGGAAAAATAGACTTGAAAATATAGGCACAGAATATCCAACCAGCAATTGCTCCTGAGCATCCATCCAGCACTCCTCCCTGCAGCTCCAGGCTCTGCTATGGACTCTGCAATGAATGCCTAGAGTTCCCTATTAGAATCCCTGCTTAGGTGAGCATGGGTACTCTTCCCTGTACTTCCCTGCCTGGCTCTATATGCTTTGGAACACAGTCACAGAGCCTTTACTGAAGAGCTGGGTTAATTACAGATCGCACTATAGGAGGGGAAAACTGTAAACTGTCAGCTAACATAGCTTTTCCTCCACGGTTCATGGGGAAAAAACCTAATGTATACATTCAATAAATATATGCTAGCTGTTCCATGAGGTGCTCAAGACAGAAAAAATCGTCTACACTATGGAGCTTTCATTTGAGTGAGAAGGAGATAGAAAATAAGTAAACATATAAAATGACAGAATAATTAGAGATGGATGAAGGAAATAAAGAAGGTGATACTTCTGCTAGCTCTTCTCAGAAGGCTCCTCAGTTATGTCACTCTGAAGGAAGTGACATGTTGGAGTTGGGACGCAGGGGGATGGGGAGGAGCTGATATGCAAAAAGCTAGAAAAGAGTTGCATAAAAAGACCATGTGCAAGTCTTCCCAAGGGTCTCCTGCCCTTAGGTCAGTGCCTCTCATCACAGGTGTCACCGTCTAATCTCTGCCTGCTCACAACGTGGCCATCTATCTTTCAGGACAACTCAGTCCTATCCGCAGGCTTAGTTGGGTATCCTACCCCAAGCAGGGCCTGCTTCTAGGTATCAGGCAACATGTAACTACATGTCCTTGGGTGGTGAGTCCTGTTTGAATGACTATCACCACTAGTCTGTGATGGCGTCAGGGACCCTGCAGTTCACTCCCGTTGTCTAGAAATTCAACCCTATTTCTGCAAATATTGAATCTGAGGCTGTCCCTGAATGGCAACGCTTTTTAATGGATTATTAATCCAAAATCTGAAATCCTTTGTTTTCCGTTCCTGTTCTTCCCACCCGCCTATTTTTCCGAACCATCGTGTGCTAAGCTTCCATCACATGAAAGTCAGGAGGCCACCGAATACCTTCAGATGCCATCAGCCTGGCGATCCGGGCCATTTCTGGAAGGGCGGCTCCCGGGAGCTGCTGAGGCCGGGACTGAGAGCGCCAGGGTGACGTCACTCGAGGGTGGCCGACTCTGAGCGGGGCGTGATGTCACGCGGGCGGGCCGGTCCGCCGTGAGGTCACCTGCTGGGCGCGGCCAGGCCGAGTCCCCAGTGACGTCACGGGCGGGGCGGGGCCAGAGCGTGTCAGCGAAGCCGAATCAAAACAAGCCGGAGACCCGCCTTTTCCCTCCTGCCCCCGAGCGTCTCGCTCGCGCCCCGAACCCGCGGCGCCCGCGCGGCTGCGAGTCTTGGTGCCGCGCGCCGGCGGGATGGCGCGGCGCGGGCCGCACGGTTAGACGGGTGCGGGAGGAGCCGCCGGCCCGCGCCCTCCATTCTCTCCGTCCCGGAGCCGGCAGCGCTCAGGGTCCCGAGCGGCCGCGCCGCGCCTCGGGGAGTCGCCTTCGCTGGCACCGGGCACCTGGACGCTCCCGAGATGCCCAACCCCAAAAACAGTAAAGGCGGACGCAAAAACAAACGCGCCAACAGCAGCGGGGACGAGCAGGAAAATGGAGCCGGAGCCCTGGCAGCGGCGGGCGCGGCGGGCGCGGCGGCCGGGGGGGCCCTGGCGGCGGCGGGCTGCGGAGCGGCGGCGGCGGGCGCGGCGGGCACCGGAGGCGCGGCGGGCACCGGAGGCGCGGGGACGGGCGCCGCCAACGCCGCCGCCGCCGCCGCGGGAGCTGCAGCCGCGGGCGACTGTAAGAACGGTAAGACGGGGCGACGGGGCGGGCGCCAACTTCCTCCCCGACGGGGACGGCGCGGTGGCGGGGCCGCGGGTGGCGCGGGCGATGCGGGGACAATGCGAGAGTCAGGAAGTGCGCACCCCGCCCCTCCGCCCCGCCGCGGCTGCCCCGGCCCGGACCCCACGCCTGTCGGCGGCGACGGATCTGCGGCCCCGGCTCGCCGGCCGCCTGCGCCCCGGACGACGTGGGGCGCCCGGGTGCCCGTCTGCGGCCACGCTACCCTCCGGCCCTGCTCGTGGTGCCCGCGCTGGTAAAGCCTCGTGTGTGCGCCCGGGCCGGGGGGGGGGGGGGGGGCGGGGGGTAGAGCTGCCCAAGTTGAGAAGAATGATCCGATTGAAAACTTAGGCACCAGTTCATTCTTCCCAGCGCACCCCTCACCCCCCGCCCGAGGGAAGAGCCTGAAAGCCCAGCAAATCCGGGCTGGCTGAGTCCATGGCCACAGGTGAAGCGGCCACAGAGACATTTTTACTGTAGGGCGTGTGTGTGTGTGTGTGTGTGTGTCGCTCTTTAATCCTGTTCTCGCTTGAGGAAGGAAGAGAATCTGAACTTGACTTCCGTTCTCAGCCCGGAGTTAAAAAAAAAAATCCACTATTCAATTCTGCTTCACGTTTTTAGAAGGAAGCCTGATACTCCTAGGTAGTGCCCGAGTGCACCCTTGGAGGGGCACACACAGAACAGCGAAGATGTGACAGGGTTGCTGATGTCATGACAGGGACTAGGCTTTGCTGGAGGGTGCGAGCACTTCACTTACTTGGACAGTTCCTTTGCATGCCTGTTGTGGTCAGCCAGATTTTCCGGGAAGGGAATACAGGTAGCTTGTAATGGAAGAAGATTAAGATCTTTATTTCTGGCTTTTACCTTAGAGCTTTCAGCTCTTGAATCCATTCTTTATGTACACCAGTCGCTTTTTAAAACGGGGCACCTGCACTTAGAAGAAACCCACAGTGAAGTGTTGCGGGTTAGAAACAGAACAGTAGGCCTCACTGGCTGTGCTTCTGCAATATGGGCATAGGGAGTTTCCCAAATGTACCGCATATGTGAATGTTTAGGTACTACAGCGTTTGGCCAGACTGTCTTCTCCGTGTCCTGTTGTTTTCCTGGCTCTAAACTTCATTTTGGTTTTGATGTAACAGGGGGAGGAAGACAGACTCCTGGCTCAGCCATTTAGAACTTTGTCATCTTGGGAAGGTCAGTCTTTCTGAACCTCAATTTCCTTGCCTGTAAAATTTAAAAAGAGAGAGAGAGAGAGAAATATACTGATTATATTGTCCCCCTCAGAGGCTTATTGTGAGGCTCAAAGTGTCCTTTCTCCACCCCACCCCTAGTTCTGGTCATTTTAAAGGCTTGTTATTTTGATTAGAGCTTTAGTAAAGTTCCTCAAGAAAAGTGATAAACAATGATCGCAGTCATTCATTCATTCATTCATTCATTCAAAAAATAGTAAGCCCTTGCAGTTACAAGTACCATGTTAAGTATTAAAGGGGGTAGTGGTAATCAAGGGAGAGGGCATGGTCCTCATGGAGCTTGTATTCCTATTCTGGGGGTGGTTGTGGCTTGCCCTACTGTTTTTGTCTTTTTGGAAGCTTCAAATTAGCTATTTCCTTTTCTTTTTTGTCCAAAAGATTAGACCACTTTGTGGTGGTGTGGGGAAATTTTGTTTTTAGGCTGGTGGTATCTCCTCATTTGTAAACAATGTCCCTATTAACTCTCCTCTGAAATGGCAGAAGCAGGTATATTTAGCAGTTCTGTATATATCTATGTGAAGTTACGTATTTCTGATTTGGAACTTGTTTTATTAATTGAGTAGGGAGAAAAGGGAAGAAATGGGCTAAACATTGCCACAGTCAGGGTTAGAGAAGCTACAAACTTAACTTGTATTAGAGCTGTAAGCTGAAATTTATGATCCCAAAGTCTTGGTGCTGACATGGTGTGAGATCTCAGTGAATGATCCACCTTCATTCGAAGAACTCTTACTGCAGTTGATAATAACTGAACTTGGATGCTGAGACCTCCTTCCTAAATAAGGAAATTGCAGATGCTTTTCATTTTACCATTTAAAGCTGTGCATTATACGTAGGGGTGGGAGAAGTAGCATTGTGGATTTTTAAAGGAAGGGGCAAAAGGTATGTGCCAACTCTCAAAATCAACTGATAAGGCCCAATTATTTTGATTTTTAAAATTATATTAATGGGACTATTTTTTAAAAGATATATTTTTATTGATTTCAGAGAGGAAGGAAGAGAGCAAGAATCATTGATCGGCTGCCTCCTGCATGCTCCCCTACTGGGGATCAAGCTGGCAACCTGGGCCTGTGCACTGACCAGGAATTGGACCATGACCTCCTGGTTCATAGGTTGATGCTCAACCACTGAACAATACCAGCCGGGCTAATGGGACTATTATGGAATTTCTAAGTATATTTCAAAATTTTTTACTTAACTGTGATTGATATTAGATTTTGTGGTTATGAATATTACAAATCAAACAATTCTTCCAAGGATGTAGTAAATCTACATTCTATTAAACTTTAGAAGGTTTGTTCTCACTGTTTGAGTCAGTTGTGATCTGCATTGCAAGCATACAAACTTATTGATTTCACTAGAAGTTAATATTTATTTGTAGTTGCTTAGAGTTTATAGAATGGTTTCATGTCTTCTTGGGCGGTATGGCCGCCAGGGCAGGGTAATATTAGTTATTAGATACTCACTGTTTGTCAGTAGGTATAAATAACTACTTATCCTAGAAAAGCAGATTATTAGCTAGGGAAAGCTTAGGGAAGTTTGGTCTGGTTGTAGTTGAAGAAGTTGAACCAATTTTCCATCTTGGATAAGTTGAATATTAATAGTAAGGATTTTATATCCCAATAAGAAATTTATTAATACATTTGTATATTTATTTATTTTAATCCTCACGGGAGGATATGTTTTCATTGATTTCAGAGGGAGAAAAAGAGAGAGAGAGAGAGAACATCAATATGAGAGAGAAACATCAGTTGCCTTCCATATGCACCCCAACTGGGGATAGAGCCCACAACCTGGGTATGTGCCCAAACAGGAAATTGAACCCACAACCCTTTGGTGTACTGGGCAACACTTCAACCAACTGAGCCACATAGGCCAGGGCTGTGAGTACATTTTTAGGTACCGTTTGTTTATGTTTATGAAGCTTTGGCAGGGATTACAGTAAAAGCACTCTCCTCCTCCCACATAGTAAACTTCTGTCTGCACATACTCTGATTGCAGGTGGACAGGATTTGCCAGTCATCATTTTTAGGATGTAGTAATCACACAGTTGATTATGACTATGCAGTTTCATTCTGGAATTCTGGTTCCATTAGACCTCCATTTTTTTGCTTCAGGCCTAAAAATATATGAACCCTTGATCATAGTATCCCATTTTCAGTGGGCCTGGATCCCAAATCCTTTTGGAAGTTTCTGTTTTCTGAATGGCCATGGTTTATCACTCACTCCAGCCTACCACCATAACCCCTGGCCTGCTGAGTCTACCTCAACTCATTTAACAACTCTTTCTAGGAAATGGAATTAGTTTATAATATAGTGATTGGCTTTGCATTGGGTAGACCTAGATTCACATCCTGGCTCCTCAAATTACTTCCCACGTGGTCTAGAATAAGTCATTTGACTTCTGTGAGCCTCAGTTTCTGCATATTTAAGCTGGGGTTATAGTGCCTACCCATACTTATCCAGTAAGATATCTCTATTTACCTATTATGTATGTAATACATATTACATACTTATATGTAAGTATGTATGTCTATAAACAGTGTCTGAGTTATAAAATGAGCTTACTAAATGTTAGCTGTTTGTCTTAGGTCCTGGAAATAGTCTCTGAGATGGAGATTGACATGTAGTTTACGGTGGCTGCTCTTGGCATCATTACTAGTGGCGGCGTGAGGGGAGCAGGACAGGGGGAGGAGTTGAACTGTGATGCAGTGATAATGGAGCTCTGGAGCTGGGATGGCCCTGCAGAGTTATCTAACCTGGAGGCTTGGGGGCAGGGCCTTTAAACCTTCCCTCCCCTACTGACTGCTTATTCGGACCTGGGCCGCCCCAGGGAAGAGGGTCTGACCGGAAGGTCTCTTAGCTGGAGAGCCTCTGTGGAGAGGGACTGAATTGAGAGCCTTTGGTTCCAAGTGAAGGAGAGCCTCTCTTACTCCCCTAGCATTATGGGTTCCTCACTTAGCGCCATTCACCTGAAACACAGGTGTAGGCTTCATGGGCCAGGTTGGGAGTTACCAATCATCATAACATTGTTTTGATGGGAATATGTGTTCTGAATTCCATATGTCTGTTTACAAATAGCTTTTTAGAGCACCACCTGTTCCTTATAGACTATATATATATATATATATATATATATATATATATATATATATAGGCCGACTTAGGCTTATATCTATTGAAAGGAAAATGAAGAGTGCTTGCTGATTATTTTCTAATCAAGGAATATTTATTGAGGGTGTAAAGTATATAGACCAACATTGCGGTCTTGGAAGACATTTTCTTGTCTTATCTAGAAATTACTTTTGTTGGATCTTGAAAATATCTGCTACTTTTGAGCTTGTCTTTGAAATCCATCTTTGTAATGGGCATTGGTAGAAAATATTGCCTAATTCATCAAAGATTCATCTTGTGCACTTTGTTTATTATAGTAAGAACTATTCTGTGCTCTGCTAATGGTGTTTTATTCACAGCCCTTACTCTTTTTCTCTTTACTTGTTGCAGGACTTGAGCTTAAATTCTAGAAACTAAACCTTTGATGTTAGCTTTCCTTCAAGTCCAAGAATATATATCATCTGTAAAGAAAACTGAAAACAGTAGGTAAAACTGGGAACTCTCTGCAGCTTAATCCTCCTCTGAGCAATTTAAAGAACTTGAAGGCACCAAAAGGAAAATTTTAGGGGAAAAAAAACTGTCCTGATTGATTTTGATCACCAGCTCTTTAATATTTTTAAGGGATTGATTCAATTAAAGATATTTTGTCATTTCATTATTGTACCAGTCATAATATGGGCATTATGGAAGGAAATTTAAAAAAAATAAAGGGGATAGGCAAAGTTCTTTTTTACTTTCTAGTCAAACACATAATCCCACCAGTTGGATCACCATTGTTAACGTTTTGATATATATTCTTGTAGTCTTAAAATTTTTGTTCTGATTAACAGATTCAACAAAATATTTAATAATGCTGAGTGATATTTTAGCAGGTGGCCTTAGTTAGTGAAGATAGAAACATATGCTTTGAAATCAATCCTGTTTGTACCATTATTCTAATCTTCAGAAGGAAGGTTGAGCATTTTTAAAGTTTTAGTCAAAAAGCATGTGTCTTGAGCTGACCTGGGTGTAAACCTTATTTATAAGGGCTACAACTTAACTAGCAGTGTTAGTTTGGGGCAAGTTACTTAATAGTTTTTTGGTTTCCATTTTCTAAATGCAGCCCTTTGCAGTGTTTTCGAAGATTAAGAAAAATATATGTGAAAAATCTTGGCACAGGGCCTGGAAGATATGGTTACTGTCAACAATAGCTTTATAAATTTTATGATTTTTTCCAACCTTATTCAATAACAAAAGCTCTTAAGCTGTTATGCTCTTGAGAACCGACACTGAGACAATAAGGTGGTGGTGAAGGATCTGTGACTATTATAAGAGAAAAAGACTGGTATTTACAGGTTTTTATTCAAGTACTGATTTAACTATAAATGATCTGTTCTTTCCTCACTATCTTTCTCTGATCATAGTGTACCTGGAAAAATCATATTATTTATTTAAAAAAGAAAAGAAAAAGTAAAAAGCGAAGTGTGAAAATGGTTACATCTTCATTTCTTCATTCAGTCACTTATCCATCTTGTATATGTTGAGTGCCTACTATTTGTCAGGCACGTGTTAGGCTGTGGGATTACAAGGACAAAAGAACTGGGCCCGAGGTTTTTGGCATCGATGGGAGCCTTTACAGAAACAAGTGCAAGTAGGTAATTACATGTATGACACAAGGGCAGCTATGAAATAAAGTGCAGGATCTTCTGAGGTGGTAAAATACTGGATTAAATGTGGGGGTTGAATTCAGTGTGAAGATGTGGAGAAGTGAAATGAGCATGTGGAGTTGAAAAGTCGCTGAAAGGCGTTCAGGAGCTCAGTGTGTTCTTTAGGGACCAGCCAGAGCTTAATAAT